GGGAGGGGAGGGTGAAGGGAGGGTGGGGACAAGGGGAAAAATGAGAACCAAGACCTGTCATGTAAAGGTACAAGATCCCAATAATGAATGTAACTGTACTGTGTACCTAGAATGTACCAATAAATTAAATTAAAAAAAAATCCAGACAGACAAAACCCTCTAGTAAAAGCTGGTTACTCACCTATCCATGAGGCCGGTGGTGGGCGCGGAGACGCATCTGGGTGAATGGACAGGAGTTGTGGGGCAGGAGGATTGGGGCACCAAGGAACAGGGTCCCTGGATCCCGGCGTTAAAGCCAAGGAAAGAAACCCGGTGCCTGTCAAAGACCACTCCACACACCAACAGAGGTCATATGAGAGATCTTTATTAAGGAGCCGAGGAGGCATGGTGGCCCACTCAGCAGAAAGAGAACGGGAGAGAGAGAGAGAGAGAGAGTGAGAGACAGAAGCTTGTCCTCTTAAATTGTGTTTTCTAAAGACAGCCTGTATGTTCATTTCCTGTCAAAATACCTAGTCTTGGACACATACTATGTACTTGTCTGTTGAAATGGTGGTATCTGAACGGTGGAGCATTGTCCCTGAAATATGGTAAATACATGTTAACGGTTCTACGTCCTGCTGAAAGGAAAGACCTGCAAGACAGAATCACTTTCCTCTAATTTATTTTCAAAAGAAAACGGCAGGAAATAGATGTGGTGCAATGCTGTCTTAATGTTAAAAGTAAATGTTCCTGGTAACTGTACTGTAAACTATTTCTTTGCCCAAGCAGTTACTGCAATCAAGCCTCCCTTTCCCTGTCTGGCTTTAAGAAATGTAGAATTCATGAACACAACTGTCATTGGCTGCAGCAGACATTATGCACAAAATTTTAAATACTTTATATAACAGGGTACAAATACAAAGTATATTGGTTAACATTGGCCGCTGAATTGTAAATCTATTCTTTGAACTTTTTCTTTACTGGTTTTAGAAATCTTTCAGTTGTTGAATGAAATCCACCATTATTCCCACTGAATCTCATTCATAACCTACCGTTTGGACCTTTTTGAAGTCCCAAAAGGCATACCATTTCATCTATGTCTCAGGAGTATCTAAAAATCATACTTTCTAAAGTGTAAATTCAGTGGTATAAATTTCTCCCCTACATATTGAGGAGAGATTGATTTCATTAAATGAAGAATATAAACTTTAGGAACTCCAGTGAGAAGATGCTTAATTCCTCGCTTTCTAATACAACATATTTATTTTCTTTTTGTTTATGAATTTTCTTAGCACCTTGTGAAACTTCAGTACCTGATGCTATAATTCAGAGAAGGACATGTAATAACAGGCTTTGTGACAGGTAAGTGCACACACTGAAATGGAGAAAATGGAAAACAGATCACTGAGAGTAAGAATTTAAAAACACATAGATTTCAGCTGTCTTGAAACCATGTCTGAATATCCATGTGGTCCTAGTGCCTCCCACTTAACCTCTCTAAAAATCCCGGAGTTTGGACTCATTGCATACACAAGATACTCAAATATTTGTTTGAGCTGGGGATTTTGCTCAGTGGCTCCAGGCTGTATCGCAATTGCAAGGTCCTGAGTTTGATCCCCATACCACAAAACCAAACCCTCCTCACAAAAAAAAACTATCAAATATTGGTTCAGAGAAATAAATATATGATCTATTGCTTTACTACTTTGATTTGTTTAGAAATTGAATTAATTTAAACTTCTTAGGTTGATATGAGAACTAGAAGTGTGCATCTAATTTAGGTCAAATACCAAAACAAACAAACAAACAAAAAAACAAAAAAAACATATTCAGTTCTTCGGTAACTTCCTCAGTCTGCCCGAAGTCATAATTTACAGAGATATTTGATTTAAATTATCTTTCTCCATTTGTGGGTGGTTACATGGTGGGAATAACCAGTAAGCAGAGGTTGGTGAGGACAAGAGAGCCAGGCTAAGGTGGCTGGCTTAAGGGCATTAGCTCAGTGCATCCTGCTGGTCAGAGCAATTTCTTTAGAGGTTGGCAGATGGCCTAAATTGGTCTAATCTATGTGAATGGCAGGATTTGTGATGTTAGTTTCTTCAGATCCTAAAATTAACTGAGAGGCAATACATTTCCAGAAAATAAGACCAAAATTAGAACTGCATGAGTTCTGAGGCTTAGGCTTCATAACCACCCCCAAGTACCCAGAAGTCTTAAAACTGAAAGACATCCCATCCTCTGCAAATTTAGTACTTGGGCCATTTCTTTAGGGGTTCTAAATAATTTACAGGTTGTGTTTTTAAGTGCTTTCACCAAGCTTATATCGTGAAGATGGTTTCAAACACCCTAGAAGGTGTTTAATATGCTAACTAACTTTTACTATTAGGAAGACAAGGTAGTACATCACTCCAGGATTTGAAAAAATAGAACAATTTAAAAATATTTGTGCTAGGCATTTTGATGCACTTCCTTTGGAAAAAATACCCCATCCATGCAAAAGAATGGTGCCAATTGTAGTATTTGGAAAAAAGAAGGAAGCTCTCGGAAAACTAGGAATTTTTTTTTATTTAACTCACACACTATAGACAGTGTAATTTTCCCAAGAAGATCAAATATGATGGTGAACTCAAAATCAAAGGCTTAGTTGAGCCAAAGCCAGTGACTTATGTGGTAAGCTCATAGATAGTGTGGTGCATAGCACTGCACTAAACTACTGCTCTGGTAATTTACTGGCATAACATGCCTCCTTCACATTCCCTTTCTAGAAAAATCACTATGGGATAGAAAAAAAGGGTATCAGATGAAGAATCACAAAAGCTGGACTTTAATTCTAGCTCTGCAAATTACAGGTGCTGTAACTTTGGATAATGCAATTGCTCAGCATCTTTGCTCTCATTTATAAGGTAGAAATAATGTTACAAAATAACTTCATCTGTTTGGGCTACTACACCTGAAATATAATATACTGGGCAGCTCATAAATGTGCTGCTCACAGATCTAAGATGACCATGCTGTTACAATTGATATCTCCCTCTGCCCTTACATGGAAGAATCCAAACAAGGTATGTGTTTCCAAAATACAATGATAGAACAGGCATGGGGTAAACGTTGCTCTTCCAAAAGGGTGAAATGGGATGTGAGAAAGGAATGACAGGTCCAAAGTAGTCCCAAAACCTGGTGGGGTAACTCTCATTACACATTTGAGACAGAAGAACTTTCTCTGGCTTGATGTTCTGCCTTGAAGTTTAATGTAGAGTGGCCACATCATCTCGTGGTTGTGGGATAGCTCTCAGTGCCTCTATGCCTAGAGTATCTCTTTGGTTCACTTAAAGTAAGTCCTTTGGATCCTAGTTAGGACGCAGAAGTATCTCCTAAGACATGGTAGCAAACCTAGAGTTTCCTGCCAGCATCCTCTAGTGGCAATGGCTACCATGACTTACACTACCCAGAAGTCTGGCAAACCTGCATCTCCTCTAACAAGAGTATCTACAATGACAGGTGGCACTGAATAATGCACTCTGAGTTCCCAAGGGGTCAATAACCCCTTTTTAGAAACTTCTCTGCTGAGGGTCACTTGTATTTTGAATCTGTGATGAAAATGGCATCTCTGATGAACTCTGAATTGTTGATGTTCATCATCAATTTTCATATCAAAGGTCTCAGTGTTCTCCTTTTACAAAACGTATGCCACCTAGTAATTTTCTAAATGTGCAAGCTCTGCTTCCGTCTTGCTGAACAACCCAATTTCTAAGTCTTTTTCTTCTCTTAGCTTTTACTCTAAACAGACAGCATCTTCAACAACTTGTTTAGAAGTTTCTCTATATAAATATCCAAGTTCACCACTAGTAATTTCTACCTTCCACAAAACAATAGAACATTAACAAGACTTGGTACTTTGCCAATTTTTAAACAAGCATGTCCTTTCTTCCATTCTTCAATAATGTGTTCTCATTTCTGTCTGAGATTTTATCAGAATAGTCCTTAGTGCTCAAGTTTTTACCAACATTCTGTTCAGTGTTATTTAGGTCACTAAGAAGATTGAGCCTTCCACAGTTTTTTTCCTTTGATTTCTGGCCCTCATCAGGATGACCTATAAAAATTCAGTGATAGCAATGTGAGCTCTTTCTAAATTGTTCATTAAAATCTCTTCTACCCTTAACCCACTACATGGTTTCAAAGCAGCTTTTTTAGGTATTTAATAAAACAGTTCCTTTATTTCTCAGTACCGATTTCTATTTTGGTTCATTAAGACAGCTATAACAGAACACACCAGACTGTGTGGCTTGTCAGCAGCAGAAACCTATTTCATAAATTTTGGAGGCTGGGAAGGCCAACCACAAGATGCTATTATATTTGGCGTCTACAGAGGACTTCCTGATTTATATATTCTTGCATTATCCTTGAATGGGGAAAGAGGTAAAAGATTGTTCTGGTGACTCTGATGTGAGACCCTAACCCCACTCTTGGTGGTTCCATCTTTATAAGCTAAGCACTTTCTAGGTATCATCACCTTGTGTACTAGGTTTTAATATGAATATAGCAGGGACACATTTAGTCTACAGAACTTGTGTCATCTGTTTTTAGTCAAATATTATACTACATATTAAATTACTCATAATAATTAGTAGTTGAATAATACATGACTTTGGTAAATATGGAACATAGACAAAATAAAGAAGTACATCTATGGATTTCATTTTGGCTTAATTGATATTGATAGGGAATTTTACTCTTAACTTTTTTTACTCAATTAACTTAATTCTAAATATAAAATTTTCTTTTCAATTATACTAAAAGTTTTATGAAAATAATTTTTGCAATGGTTTAAAAAATTTCCTAACGTTTAATGATGCCATACTTATTTATGATGATTTAGTATTCAGTTATTTAAGTCCTTTAAATTTTTAACTTGTACATAATTTGTCAATTAAAATTATATGCATAAATCTCTCATTGTATCTTAGTGTATTTCTATAGGCCAATTGCCTGAGGTAAAACTATTGTATCAGAGATTAGAAGCATTTTAAAAGATCAGGCATGCTGCCAGATCGTCCACAGGAAGTCAAAATCAGTCAGTTTATCCATGAGTTCATTGTAAGTGTGTTTATCTATGATCAATTTAGCTGACATTTTACACTGAAAATTTTCAAGTTTCATACATTTTTTTAACTATATTGTTACATTTAATTTATACAATATAATGACATTTCCCATTGTGGGGAATTTGTAGTTCTACGTAATCCATCTTGTTCTTATTTTTTTCCCTATTCCCTGCCTTCCCTTCAACCCCTCTCTCCCTCCCTATCTACAAAGACTTTGTTTCCATTATTTTTCATTTTCTCCTGTAAATTCCATTCCCTTCTTTCCTTTCCCCTACCCTTTCCATTCCCCCTTCTTCTTTGTCCCTTTTCTTCCTATGTCACATTATCTATTATACTTTGTAGTTCTTATTTACACTCAGCTACCTCATCTTTGACAAAGGAGCCTAACACCCTCACTGGATCAAAGATAGCCTCTTTAATAAAAGGTGCTGAAAAAACTAGGTTTCAACTTGCCAAAGATTAAAACTAGACCTATATCTCTCACCATGCACTAAAGTAAAATCAAAATGGATTAAAGACATAAATATTAAAACAGAAATAGTAAACCACCTAGAAGAGAGGTTAGGTAGAACTCTTGAAGACGATGGTCAGGTTTTATTAAAATTTTATGATTTGATTTGTACAACTTTGAGTATTTTATACATCTTTACTCATAAAAGGGAACATTTTGAAAATAGATTTTGAAATACTAAAATGACACATAAACATTATTTATTCTAATTTGAAGCCATACATTATTATATCTCTTCTGTCACATTTGGGGTCCTGTGTGCTGATGGGCCTTGTCAAAATAATCAATTACATCGCTGTTAACACTTTAGACTTCTCTAATTCTGCAGTTTTCTTGGCCTAGATATTTTTAAAAATTTATTACCAATCTATGAGAACTAATCCAAAATCTGTACCAGAGTCCTTCAATGCCCATATTTCATCTTTAACTTCTCTAAATATATTCCCCATCCTAAAGGAGCATCTTAAAAATATTGCAAAATTGTTTACTATTGGGCTAATTGAATTTTGTGTTGATGTTATAGTTGTTATTGGTTCAACTGAACAGTGTCAAAGGGCAAAATTATATTAGTAAACGGGAACTCACTTCATATTTTTATTTCCCATCAGAAATCACATCAAGTTTAATTTTGCTTACGTGAATTATTTCAATAATTTTGTTGAAAAAATAACTTTTAAATGTATATATTTTATTCGTTTTAGGAAAGCAAGACAAGCTGCAAATGGATATTTTCAACATAAAGTAGAATCTGCTAGTATAAACACCAAGCACATGTTGCATTCATTCAAATCTAGCAACTAATGGAAAATACTAATCCAATCACTTGAATAAAGTGACATATAATAAATTGAAAAATGTGGCTAAATAGAGAATAGTTTCTTTAATAGGCCTCAATGTTAAGAGGAACTGTTAGAATTTAAATGGAAAATACACTGGAAAAGTCTTCGGTGTTTAGAAATGGTGCTTGTAGAGAGTCACTGTACTTACCAGTGAATTGATTCACTGTTGAGTTCATACTTGAATGTGCTGTTGGAAGGTGGGGGTTTGTGTGGAGGAGAGATTAATTAGGACCATACTACTGAAGGGTGTATCTCTCCCTTTGGCTTTCCCTCTCTCATTTACTTCCAGGTTGCTATGTGTCGAGCAGCTTACTTACTACATGCCATGCCGTTTCTGCCCTTGAGCCAGCCAATGACCTGGGCACTCTGAAATCATGAGTCAAAACAGATCCTTTCTCAGGTAAGTGGTGGATATCTGGTAGTTTGTGCCTCAGGTTAAAAAAAAATGTCCACTAAACTGACAATAGTAGGGCATGGTGTGACCTAGGTTTGACTGCTTGTCCTTTCTGGGGTCTTCCTTGGAAATTTGATTTTATATCACTGCCCCATAACTATTATCTACTTTCACTGCAAAACACCTGACCTTATTTCTTCTGGACTGCCAATGAAAAAGCGCTCACTGTTAGGAACTATGTAACTTTGTTCAAGCTCTATGTTGTTATCATTTCTGCCTAGACTAGACCTCCTAATGTCTTGACCTACTTCCTGAATATGAAATGTAGGCATAAATTTTTCAATTTTACTTTTGCAAGCCACTACTCTTCAGATTAATTCCTTTTGATTGTAGCAAGGGCTATAAAGCAATTTCACTGCTTAAACAGAAGCAAATTAGAATTAATATACCCATTTTCACTTTTATGAGCCTTTAGGTATGTATATAATACAAAACAACACAAATTAGCCAACAATGAAACTAACCAAGATACCTATGTGATTATCTTTTGGTGCTTTAAAACAATGCTCCCTTGGACACATCATGAAATGATCATATCTTGATGAAATGCCTGGGCTTTCTCACCATTATCCCCAATGCTTCTTTCTTTCTTAACCATGAAGGCAATGCTCCTACAATCTCATGTCCCTTTCTACGATCAAATACTTCTCTTAATATAATAACCTATTAACTTGCTTTCAGAATCAAGTGTAAGAAAGGCTAAAGTTGAATGTATGTCTCCTCTCTAGAGAAGTAGACTTTTTTTTTTTTTGAGACAGGGTCTCACTATGTAGTTGAGACTGACCTGGAAATCACTATGCAGCACAGGCTGGTCTCAAACTCACAGCAATCCTCCTGCCTCAGCCTCTCAAGGGCTGGGATTACAGGTGTACACTGCCACACCCAGCCAAGAAGTAGACTATTAACTTCTGATTTTAATTTCTTCTTTCTCTCTCTCTCTCTCTCTCTCTCTCTCTCTCTCTCTCTCTCTCTCTCTCTCTTTTTTTTTCTCCCGGGGGTGGAGCTG